TGTAGTAAGGCCTCTAGATCTTGGGACATTCATTTGTAGTAGGGATGTTAGATATTGGGTAATTGAATAATTGTGTAACTGTTATGAAATCTTTCCGGTTACGTGACTATTCGATAGTCCCTGGGAGCGGTATGCTCCCTGCCCCACTCCTGGGAGTCCCCTTCCACCCCGCACTGCTGCCTCAGTAACAGAGGCAGCAGCACGGGATGGAAGGTGGGGCCAATCTGCAAGGGGAGCCAGTCTAAAAAACAGCTCCCTGCACAGACCCTCTGCCTGCCACCCTGTGCTGCTACCTCTGATACAGTGGCAGCAGGGCAGGATGGCAGCAGCCGGGAGGCTTAACTTCCCCAAGCCTCTTACACACACCACTCATGGTTGTTGAATTTCTGTCATTGGAGGTTTACAAGAAATGGTTGGACAAAAACCTGTCTGGGATAACCCAGGTTTACTTGGTTTTGCTTCAGTTCCTACGTTTCTTTGATTTTATGTACTGCTAATGAATTTTTAATAAAGATGCTAACAAATCCCCACTCCCAAATAGTGACCCCCCTCCCCCCCCCCCCACACACACACACACACTGCTGCTTCTGATAGAGGCAGCAGCATGGGATGGGATGGGGGGTAGATGGCACCATGGAGCCGGTCCTGGGGGGCAACCAGCTTTTAAGCTTGCTGATACAGAGGCAGCAAGGGGTGAGAAATGTATGTAGTCGAGAAGACTAACCGATAAGCCTAGGCTTATCAATTAATCATCTGGTCGACTACATGTTGACATCCCTAATTTATAGCAAGCAGACACTTTTTTTTTCAATAGTTTTCATTTCAGCTAAAAATTGATGCTATGATGAAGCTGGAAAAAGAATAATACGACCAGTTCTAACAGCCTTTGTCATTGAATGTAGTGTAGAGTGCCTCCTACACTTGCAGCATGCTGAAGATTTCTGTATGGTTGGCAGCACAAATGCACTTTGGAAATTATTAGGGATGCTGGAGGTTTTGGCCACTAGATAGAAGACAGTTATTGGCATGAGGAAGTAGGTTGGGGTTGTGATATAAGCATATTTAACTAATGTTTCTGCTAAGGTAATCAATTAAATACTTAAGTGTCACCTTTAGTTTTCAGCGGTTAAATGCCCCATTGTGGTGAATGCAGATGACCTTCGAAAATATGAACGAGGCGTAAACTCGTTGAGTGTGGCTTGTCTCACCTGGGAGCAATTCAGAAAACTTGTACATGTTCATGGCTATTGTCGCAAATACAGAGATTATTAGATGGTATCATTCTGTAACAGGAAAAATTTAAACAACGAATAGTCAAGTAGCATCTTAAAGACGAACACATCAGATGGTATCATTGTTCGTCTTTAAGGTGCTACTAGACTATTCGTTGCTTTTTAATTTTTTTTCCTGTTCCAGACTAACTTGACTACTCTTCTGAAACAGAGATTATTGTGGGTCATGCTGAAAGGTGAACAGCTAGATGGGAGGGAAGTTACTAATGGAGTTCTTTGGGGATTCATCTAGGAGCCAATCTTCAACATTTTTATTAATGATGCTACAAAAAGTAGGAGTGCGGCTATAAAATTTACAGATGATATCAAGTTGGAAGGTGTTGCCAATAAGGAGGAAGACTAGAGTATCCTACAAAAGCATTTGGATGATCTTGAAAACTAGAGTAAAACAAATTAGATGGAATTTAAGAGTGTAAAGTCATGTACTTTCAGGCTAACAAATTTTTGCTGTAAACTGGGACTTAGTGGTTGGAAGCAACACAGAAGGAGAAACATCTGGGTGCATTTGTTGATGACTATCACCTGCCAATGTTGTTATGGCCTTGAAAAATGCTAATGCAGCAGGTGAGACAAGGAAGTTTTTAGTACTACAGTAAAACTCCATTGGTCTGGCATCCAATGCTCCGGGACTCCTGATGGTCCGGCACCATCAGGAACCCGGAAGTGCTGGGGCAGCCGGACAGGCTTCCCCCATTCAGCTGCTGCTGAAACTGACCAGCAGCTGAATCGGGGAAGCCGGGAGCAGAGCAGCTGGGGTGCTGCCGGGTTGGTCCCGTAGCACTGCCCCTCGGGGCTGCGGAACCAACCTGGCGGCACCCCAGCTGCTCTTGGGGACGTCTGGAGCAGAGCAGCCATTGTGCTGCCGAGGAGCAGCACTACAGGACCAACCCGGCAGCACCCCGGCTGCTCTGTCCCAGGCATCCCCGATTCAGCTGCTGCTGAAACTGAACCGCAGCGGCTGG